AGAAATAATTTAAGTATGCAAGTGGACTCATCCGGTTCGCCGGTGAGGTATAAGTGGACCTATCCGGGACGTCGGTAGGGATTAAGTGAACTCATCCGGTACGCCGGTGAGGTATAAGTGGACCTCCAGGGATTAAGTAGACCTATCTGGGACGCCAATAGGGATTAAGTGGACCCATCAAGACGCTGATGGAGTATATATGTGACCTACTTGGGACGCCAGTAGGGTATTTTGTGAAATCCTTTGAATTATGCACTACCGTTAAAGTGTTATATGCATTTCAATTATTCAAATTATACTTAATTATGCATTTATTGAAAGTGAAACTGTTGATGCATTTCGGTTAATATATCTCCTTTTGGAAAATATTGATATCTTCCAACCATGATTATTTTTAGGATTATGATGATCACTTACTGAGTAGCCAAACTCATCAAACTATGTTAAACATTTTTTTCAGGATAACTACGGATTCATTTTGAGTGCTAGTCAAGATCAACTTTGGAAGATATTGTTGTTGTGCTAGCTTTCTTTATTTACTTTGTAAAACCTCGCCACTGTAAATTTGTCCTATCAAGAGTTGTATATATGTTTTGGACAGTCACATCTCAAGAATATCTGTATTGTAAATTCTTGGGGTGTGACAGTTATGAAGTTGAAAAACCCTCTAATTGATCACCTCGACATCAAGATGTATAAATATACATATAAAAAAAATATTTTTGAGTCCTAAAAATAGTGCATCTAGCAACCCATTATTAGGACCACCCATTTTCAAGATTTTCACATGTTTATTGATCTACTTGATTTAAAAAAAATTCTATAATTTGCAATAAAAATGAAAATTTGAGGCCATCCTAAAAATGTTTTACAACAAAATTATTTCTTTTAATAAAGGATGAGGTTTCTATAAAGCCTAGGCTTTATGGAAACAAAATAAAGCCTCACATCACATCCTTGTATTGAAAGTACTCGGACAACGAAAATCTCTATGATGATTTTAAAATAAATTTCTAATACAAACAATAAATTTTGAAACTTACAAAGTGGTACAAATTTTGTGGATCTATGAGCATTTATTTTTAAAGCAAAATAGAGCGTTTAGATAATTTGTTACAATATGTATTATTTTTAGAGCTTAGAAATCCTATTTTTTTTTCACAACCATAATATTCAAGAAGATGATTGATGTAAAGCTTTTCTACTTACAATTTTAAATGAGTAATGAGGTGAGGATTTACTTATTTTTATAGGGCTGCAGCCCTATCAAAATAAAATAGAAAAAGTTTATATAAGGATACAACCTTATAATGTAGAACTATGGATGCACCTCAAAAATCGATCCGAAAAGGTAGTTTTAATGTTGAAAAACCCATTCATTAATTATCTAGATATCGAGATATGATCATGAAAAATAAAAAGATTTTAAATCTTAAAAATAGTTTATTTTACAACATATTATCTACACAGTTCATTTTCAAGATTTTCATACGTTGATCTACTTGATTTTAATGATTTTTGAAATTAAAAATTTTATAATCAGATATAAAGATAGATTAATTTTATAATTAGATATAAAAATAAATTTTGAGATAATCCTAATAACATTTTACATAAAAATTATATACCATCATAAAATTTGAGCTTTGATTGTTGAATAGCGCAACCTCATGCAAACCACATCCCATGCCTGCCTTGAAGTAATCGAACACATTTGAGCCATTCAATGGCGTAAGATGAGCGCACCTACAAATTCTTGCTCCTTGCCCCTCTGTGTTTTAGTTCTCGATCGTTTCCAGCTCATGGATGATGATGACGATGATAAAGAGCTCCGATCGTTTCTTCGATGCTCTTGACATATTTCCAGCTTCTTCTAAGGATTCTTCTAATGGATTTGACTCTTATTTCTCAGAGAACAGAGAGAATTCTGTCCCCAAAGGTTGGAGTGAGAATTCTCGGCACGATCAAACCCTAGAATTCTATAATGCTGGAGAAACAAGCGAACTCTGTAGTAGAATGAAAAACATCGATTTCTTTGATGCTTTTGATGAACCTCTGGCTTATGATGAACCTGATGTCCATTTTGTAGAGAAGGGAGAGATTTTTGAAGGTTTGAGAGAGAAGTTGCAGCGCGATGGAGGCCTAGAATCATCTTCTGTCACTGAAATTAACCAGTTATTTAAGAGGAGGAATATGCGTTTTTTTGATGCTCTTGATGAATTTCGGCCATCTTATCAAGAAAGGTTGGGCAGAGATCCAACTGGTGATTTTTCAGAGGAGGGTGATATTTCTGTGCTTGAAAGTTTGGAAGAGAAGTCGCAGAGCAATCAAACCCTTGATTCATCTTCTGTTGCAGAAAGCCGCCAGCTTTTTAAGAGAAGAAAGAAAAGATCCCTGAATTACATATTTGATCCTAAAATTGAATATCAAAGGTGCGATTCATTGTCCCGTAGCTCTACTTCTGATGGATTCAGTAACATAGATGGCTTTAAAGACAAAAATTTGGGAGTATCAATTGCTAGAAATGAATGTGAGAAGGAGAATTTAAGTTTGGTTAACTCTGGCAATGATAGTGATAACATGGGAATAAATTTCGCGGTTTCAATTGTGAGAAATGAGTATGACGCAGAGAAGTTAAATTTGAATGTCAATAGAAGGGACCATTTACATGAGATTTCTTCTGCTTCATCTATGAAAAATGAGTTTGATGGAGATTTTCTAAATTCTTCAGCTTCTATGTTGGGTCAAAGTCAAATCAGTTTTAAAAATGATTGCTTCCCTGATAAATCTAGGGTTTCGCATTCAACAAGTGAAATGGATGATGATTTGAAAGGAACTGATTCTCTGACTTCTGGTCTAAGTTCGGGAGAAATTAATGGCAGAAGTGGTCGAATCAGTAGCACTAGTGATGGTTCAGGTGGGGTTTCTTTATTGACTGTGGAAGGTCGTGGGGTTGGTGTCCAACCTTCTTCTGCATTCAGTTCAATTGTGGGCAGTGGTGATAGTGTCAGTAGAAGGAAAGATGATAAATTAAATGTTTCATCTATACTTTTCCTCAAGAGAAATGAATCTCATGAAGGCATAAGAAGCATTGATTCTTTGCCTCTTAAATCTAGATTGGGTTTAAATCATAGCAGAAGTAGTGTCGTAATTAGTGGTAACAATGAGTTATGTGGTATTTCTAAGGGTCCATTTGAGGAAAGGGAATCTGAGAAAGGCTTAGCAGTAGTTGATTCTTTGGCGTCCAGTTGTTTGGGCACGGTGGTTTCTGAAGGGGTTGTCGATACTGAAGATAATGTAGGATTGAGTAGGAGGTATTCTGTAGCTTCAATTGGAGATTTTTTGGTTTGGGTTGCTAGATTCATACTTAAATCCATTGAATTTCAGTTAGGTTTATTTGTTAAATTTATATGTTTTCCAATTTGGTTGCTTCAAACCTCTTTAAAATGTGTCATCCACCCATTCCAAATTGTAATCCTTGCAAGGGAAAGCACAAATAGCATCTTGTCTAAAGTTTACACCTTCCTACCTGATCGGGTTGGTATGTTTGTTCAAGGGAATTTTTGGGAAGAACTATCAATTGCTAAATTGGTGAAGAGGATTGGATGGGGTTGTTTCTGGTCATCCTATGTTGGGTCTATCCTGATTCTTCTTTTTCTTATGGCCTTTTTCATGGGGGGGATTGTGATGCAAAATATTGTGGAGAAACCAATTCAGATGACAGAGACCTTGAATTTTGATTATACGATGTCCAGTCCGGTTGCGATATCGCCAATTAAATCCTGTTGTGTGAGCGCTCCTTATGAGAAATATAGAGAAAAGTTGAAGCCTGTAAAGTGTACAGGACAAAGACTTATCCCAGCCAACCATAAATTGCAGCTCACTATCTCGTTAACTTTGCCAGAATCAGATTACAACAGGAAACTTGGAGTCTTCCAGGTATTGTCTTATTGCGTACTCGACTCTAGCTTTTTGTGATGCTTCTTTCAATTTAATATTTATTGGTTTGTGTTTGTCTTTGCTTTTTGGGTTTTCATATGACAGAATCTGTCTTAATCTCATGGAAGATGATGGTTGGTTGCCCTTGGGTTTTGTTAAATTTGGGTAATTTTGCTCCTTGTGACTTGAACTTGGCACTTTGCCTATAATTACTGGGTAGTATGCAAGGAAATGTTCCTTAAGGTGATTTCTATCAATTGAGGAATCATGTTCTAGACTAAAGAGGGTCTCCCCAGAAAAAAAATAAAATAAAGCGAAATGGAAAGGACCCTGGAGCATGGTCATTGATGTAACTTTTTTGAAACATTAATGTATGCTTATGTAGAATATTGATTCACATCTGCTGGACGCTCAAAAAAGATGAAAAGTAGGAAACACATGGTTTGTTGCAACATTGTCACATCCTTCTTATACTAGACTTGGTCTGTGGATAACCCAAACAGCTGGTTTACTTTTTGATGGATATAACTAATGTGTCAGGTGCTATAGCATACCTGATTTTTGCTAGAATCAAGCGCCATTCATTCACTCACTCACACCCAGCTACAGATATGCTTTTTTTTTAAGTTTTGCAAAGTCGAAAACATCACTAGTTTTCTTTGGACTAATTTTTGGAGAGCATCACATGATCAACATTACAGATGTTTATAAATTGGCAATAAGAATTACATTTGAAATAATGGAACCAGTGTTGCAGAGTTATGAAGTAGAGCAAGGTCAGTATCTGGGCGACTTCTACTGCAGCATTAGTCAACTTCTGAAGGAACTCAAACTGCTAGAATGTCCTCTGCATTCCACTGCATTCTTTAGAAGTTAGAACCAAAGACATACAATATGAGATCTATATGGAGATCTATTACATATGGTGAAGGCAATGGCAATAATTGTGAGCTGGAGTCTTCTTTATTTGTATGTCGGTTTCTGTAGGACTACCCTATAGTGGGTAAACCAATGGAAAGCAAACACCACTGCCCTAATGTCGAAAAAATTACAAATACTGGACTTCTTTTGTGTTCCTAGAAGAATTATCCGGCATGGTAGAAAGCATTTTCTAGTTGACAGGGGATCCGTGTGTGGTCAACGTTTGAGTGAGAAACATTAGAAGCAGGAGTTTCCATGTCTACAGTTGAGAATAGTTTTGAGAGCAGAACATGCCCAGGTGCTCACTTTTGCTGGTTTCTTTAGCTGTAATAGAGCATACCAGGAGTTTCCATGTCTACAGTTGAGAATGGTTTTGAGAGCAGAACACGCCAAGGTGCTCACTTTTGCTGGTTTTTTAGCTGTAATAGAACATACCAGAACTTTTTATTTTCCCTTGTTCCTAATGTTCCAAGGGTCATCATTGTCCTGCCATAGCAAACTCCACTAGAGTCTGGCAAAATTTTAGAGGTTTTTCCACTTATTAGTGTTCCTTTTTAAGGGATTTAAGAAAAATAAAATAAATTTTTTAAAGATATGGAGAAAAGGGAAAGAGAAAATTTAAGAGAAATCTTAAAAGCTATTTTTTAATAAAATGGAATGGCTTTCTATATGCAATTCCATTACTTAAATTATTTAGAAATACTAAATGGTCAAGCTGGCATGGCGGACCATTTGATTGCGATAGAGGGCATGTCTTAGCCTGGCTAGGATAAGTGCAGCATGCATATCTGTTGCAATTGCAGACTTTTTCCGCATTAATGTTTTCTCTCTATTGTCAAAGGTTGTTGTTGAGGTCATTGACACTTGAAAAGAACACTGAACACACTGAGGTGTCTTTCTCACCTAGCAAGTTTTATTTATGGTGTAGATTCTCAATTTATTGGCATGACAATATGACATGCTTTTGGTGAAGCTAATCCGTAGATGCTAATGAAGCAAGCATTATCAGAGACTAGACAGAAGCTCAGGTATTCTCTCAAGTGTCGAAGGATTTTGGAGATTGTTATTATGGTCATTGATTCTTGAAAAGGACATTTTTAGATGTTGACTTTTTCCCCTAGTGAGCTTGGTATTATGGTGTAAATTCTAAATTTATAGGCATGGCATTACATCATGATTATATCGAAGCTAAGCAAGCATCATCAGAGGCTGGACAGATCCTCAAATATTGGAGACTTCCCACCCTAACAACCATTTCCCCCTCCCTCCCTATTGTCAACTATTTCAATGACATGGCTGGTGCCATGAACAATGAGAAGAAGGATCAACATGAACAGTTGAATCAGTTGAACCAGTTTTTTAAAAAACGGCGAGTCAAACCGGACTCGCCCGGTTCGACTTGGAAACACGCGTGCCCGTGCCGGTTCGACTTGGAAACACGCGTGCCCGTGCCGGTTCCAACCAAAAACCAGGAACCGCCCGGTTCTAGAGTGGAACCGCCGGTTCCCATTCGGTTCTATCCGGTTCAGCCCGGTTCAGCCACGTAACGCATGACACGCACGTGCGAGCGTGCCCCACGTACACTCACACGTGCACACGTGTGTTTAAGCGCACGTGCGAGGGTGCCCACGCACACTCGCACGTGCACACGTGTGTCCAAGCGCATGTACGAGCGTGCCCCATGCACTCACACGTGTTCAGCCCGGTTCACACACGTAACGTATGACACGCACGTGCAAGCGTGCCCCACGCACACTCACACGCGCACACGTGTGTCCAAGCGCACGCACGAACGTGCCCCACGCGCATTCGCACGTGCACACGTGTGTCCAAGCGCATGTACGAGCGTGCCCCACGCACTCACACGTGTTTTCTCTCTATTGTCAAAGGCTTTATGAGATTGTTGTTGAGGTCATTGACACTTGAAAAGGACACTGAACACACTGAGGTGTCTTTATCACCTAGCAAGTTTTATTTATGGTGTAGATTCTCAATTTATTGGCATGACAATATGACATGCTTTTGGTGAAGCTAATCCGTAGATGCTAATGAAGCAAGCATTATCAGAGACTAGACAGAAGCTCAGGTATTCTCTCAAGTGTCGAAGGCTTTTGGAGATTGTTATTATGGTCATTGATTCTTGAAAAGGACATTTTTAGATGTTGACTTTTTCCCCTAGTGAGCTTGGTATTATGGTGTAAATTCTAAATTTATAGGCATGGCATTACATCATGATTATATCGAAGCTAAGCAAGCATCATCAGAGGCTGGACAGATCCTCAAATATTGGAGACTTCCCTGCTCCACTCATTTCGTTATTACCACCCTAACAACCATTTCCCCCTCCCTCCCTATTGTCAACTATTTCAATGACATGGCTGGTGCCATGAACAAAGAGAAGAAGGATCAACATGAACAGTTGAATCAGTTGAACCAGTGTTTTAAAAAACAGCAAGTCGAACCGAACTCGTCCGGTTCGCCTCGGAAACACGCGTGCCCGTGGCGGTTCCAACCAAAAACCGGGAACCGCCCGGTTCTTGAGTGGAACCGCCGGTTCCCATTCGGTTCTATCCGGTTCAGCCACGTAAAGCATGACACGCACGTGCGAGCGTGCCCCACGCACACTCACACGTGCACACGTGTGCTTAAGCGCACATGCGAGCGTGCCCCACGCACACTCGCACGTGCACACGTGTGTCCAAGCGCATGTGCGAGCGTGCCCCACGCACTCACACGTGTTCAGCCCGGTTCACACACGTAACGCATGACACGCACGTGCGAGCGTGCCCCACGTACACTCACGCGCACACGTGTGTCCAAGCGCACGTGCGAGCGTGCCCCACGCACACTCGCACGTGCACACGTGTT